TTAATGTCGTAAAGAACTTTTTGTGACCAAAAAAAATCTGTTGATATGACGTTGGTGGCTTCAGTACGTACGAGTTGAGCGAGTCGCAACATTATTAACGTACGAGTGATAAAAGGGGGCGTTGGGACGGGGGGTTGTAATTGCGAGGGGAAGAGAACTTACACGCGCAATATTCGCCAGAGGCAGGCAGTGAGGGTTGGCGGTGATATTGTGTGCGAAATTGCAAACAGTCGCGCCTCCGCTCCGCTGAAAACCCCGTGCAACTGCCTCCACGTGTATTCGCCACATTTTTTTATAGCGATCACCGACCTCGTGCAACTCGTAGCGCGGTAAGGACGTCGAGTTACATCACAAGTAGTACAAGAGGTACTAGTGTGTAATAGAGGAAGATTCATTGAAAGTGTTTATGAATGTGCGGAGGGGGGGGGGATTCTTTGGGGGGTGGAGGGGGCTTTTTGAAAGCACGTTTTGAAGGGGCGATTTGGGCGCTGCGCGCCTGCCCCGAAAATACTATCGATCGCAGGGGCGAAAATACTGGTGAATTTAGTGAGGGGAATTCCCCTCCTAATGCCGAGGGGAATTTTCGGACTGCTTGGATGCTCAATGCGCATTTTATTAGATGTGTTTAGGTTTTCTATGATTTTTCGAGTTTTTAAAGACCTTCATTTTGCCATTTTGGCATTGTAAACAGAAAGAAAATTTACTCAAGTGAAAATTTAAAAATGAATGAAAAATGGGAATCTCAATTTTTTCGTTTTGGACAAGAAATTATGTCAACATCAATGAATTATATCAATAGATAATGATTATATGAATGATAGTTTGATTGTTTCTTCAGATTTTGAAAATCTACTTTTTTTGCAAGTAAAAATATAAAAATGAATGAAAAATAAAAACTTCAATTTTTTCGTTTTGGACAAAAAATTATGTCAACATAAATGAATTATATCAATAGATAATGATTATATGAATGACATTTTGAATCAATTCAAGAAAGGTCAGGCAATTTTAGAGGAATAATCACGACACAATGCATTACGACAATTTAATCGACGTCGTAATTATTTCTCCAATATTCTCTGACCTTTCTTAAATTGATTAGAGACGAGAACAATCACTGATATTTTGAATGATTCTTCCGGTTTTTAAAGACCTTCATTTTGTCATTTTGTTATTGTAAACAAAAGAATTTTACTTATTTTTTTGCAAGTAAAAATTAAAAAATGAATACAAAATGAGAATCCCAATTTTTTCTTCGTTCTGGACAAAAAATTCCATCACCGTCAATTCATTATATCAATATACAAATGTAAATTTGTTTTACATAATAACTTGTAATTATTTGACCCTAGAATTGGTCCCAGCTGTCGGATCTTTACTAAGTAAATGACAAATAACAAAAATCCGTAAGATGATCTATAAGAAAATAATTAATTTTAATTCAGTAGTGAAGTGGTAAACCGGTATAAGTAGATTTTGACTATTGCCCAGTTTTCAATGAATATTTCAAAATCTGAGGGAAATAGAAAAATTTTTGCCATAACCTTTTTTGTAGCTCTGAATTTGCTCTACAAAAAAGGAAATTACAACAATTTCGCTATTTCCCTTAGATTCCGAGATATTTATTGAAAACTAGCCAATAGTCAAAATCGACTTCTACCGGTTTACCACTTCGCTACTGAATTAATCATCTTTCAAATTAATTAAATTTTTAATTAACGCAAAAGACAATTTTGACATGTCCTTACCTCAATACTTCACTCAATGTTTGATGTTTACGTCTCAAGATTCCGTCGCATTGGCATTAAATTACCACAACCTCACTCAACAATGACTATTTAAAAATACGATAAATACGATAAATTTCCGCGAATTCGATGAAATTGTCCTGTGCCAGTGTTCCACTTGTCAGTCCCCAGAAATATTTCCTGAATTAATCCAATTGAAGAGTTGTCACAAAAATAAATTATACGTCAATCCACTTTCTCGGACCGATGTTGTCTCATTGCGCTCACTAATTTCACTGACGTGAGCCCGCACGATCCAAAACAAGGAAAACCAAAGGACCCGCCTTTGAATGACCAATCCAACACTCTGCAATGTTTACCTCCTACTCGTACCGTACGATTACATCCGATCATCAACGAAGTCACTTCGTTCAATCCCTCCCCACCATCGCACCATCTCCCCCTTCTATTGCTCTTCACCTTGCGCGTGGTTCCCCCACTTCGACTCCCGCCTCTTATACAAAACGAATGCGAAAACCATTGCGGGAAAATTCAGACCCCTAGCGGTGGTCCACCCCAATAATTTGCCCGCGAAATTCAAACATAATTTTGCGGAAAAATTTTTTCAGGCGCTTTTCGCCAATTGCAAAGCGCCAACAGGTGGTAATCATTCGATACTGGGTTCTAGGGATTAGCAAATAATTTTTTCGCGAACGACTCCGGTCAATTGTTTCGCAGCGGAGGCGCGCCGGAGTCTCCACGCACTGACGACGACGACCTACAATTTGGGGCGACCGAGACCCCGGCTACTCGCAGCACGTGGAGGCAGCCGTTCTGGTTTCTCCTCGTGGACGCGCGTGCGAATTGAACGGAGACGTGTGGGTGAACGTTTGTGCATAGTTTTTGCACTGGCGATAGTATATCGGGAGAATTTCATAAACTATTTCTTTTTATTCGATTGATTGGAAAATTGTTGGAAAATTTTTGCAATGAGGGGTCGGAGGGGCGAGGGAAAATTGGAATTACAAGGCAGATAATTTGATGGATTTTTTTTGACAATAGGAAAACATTTTTTTAGGAAGTCTTCGGCGCTCAGGGCGGGGG